TGTCATGGATCCGCTCCACACGGACCGTCTCTCTGTCGGCCGGCCATAATTATACCTGTCAAAGATATTGTAACAACTGATGGCTAAATTAAAAAAAATCCGTTCGTTTTTTATACCTTTGGCCGCTCGCTCGCGCACTCTGATCTCTCCCTCCACCACTCGCGTGTCTGTCTCTTCTCTTTACTCTCATATCCCCACCACCCACCATATAATATACACAAAATGTTGTAACGAGAACCTCTGCGGCTAAACGATATCATTACAATGTATACTTCCGTGACGCTTTGGATGCACACTGCATTTATGTATACTTCAAACATAATTTAAATCAAATTCCTATAGTCATTGTCTATGCCATGTTAAGTGCCGCTAGTGTATGGAATACACACCGAACCGATTTTTCGCCCATGCGACGACAATAACACTATATATAGAGGACCTACATAATAGGTACAAGCGCGTGTACTAGAAGTTGGAACCCATTCATTAAATTATATTATATTTATGATGATGATTTCCGAACAGTCATTATCCAAACCGGGAGCGGCGGCGACGGCAATACGGACGGACGGGTCCGGTTTTCTGTTATACATAGAGAACGGAAAGGTGAACGAAAAAATAAAAAAAATTAAGGATGTACCTATCCTATTTGTGTTGTTGTAGCGGCGGACCTGATATCGTTACACCTCTTTCCGGGACAGGTTCCGATTATAAACACAACGGCTCATTTTGTCGTCGGCGTTAAAAAAAAAAAAACCAAACGTCTAAATTATAATAGTAAACGCACAAATCATATAAGTCGCTTCGGGCACCGTCTACACCGCCCATAATAATTTCACCGTGTAATCTCTGGTTTTCGGCAAACGTACGAAACAAAACAAAATTGATTCGTGACTTTACAATAAATACAAATATTATAGTTCCATTTTCGTAGGGTCGAACCTGGAACCCGGTGTTAAAAATCCTATAGTGATTAACGTTTCCCCATTGTACGCGGTATGTGTAATGTGTGTGTGTGTGTGTGTGTGTGTGTGTTGGCATAGAGAGTATCCCGTCGTCACCGTACCCCGCGATCGGTTGTCCTGGAGATATAGTGTTCTGGTTTTCATGCCAAAATCTGGAATTTCCGCGAAGATCTGGTCGTACACAAACACACACACAATTTTAATAATATTATAATATATAGGGAGTCCCGGCAAAGCGGTATATTCCCCAACGTCCGGGACACGCTGACGCTTTTAACGTTTTGGATTTATGGCGCTCGGTCCGAGAGTGTAACATGCGATTTCCAGAAACCTACACGAAAACTCTTTAGCGTAGTACGTTAAAATACGGTCGAGTAATGGTCGACTAAAAACGGTTCACTTTTGCATGTAGATATGTGTGTATAACACGATAACATATACATCAGTAATGATATATTATAACGTCCTTGCATTTGTATGTATTCGTACAGCCGATTTAGTTTCCATATCTCTCTATCCGCTCTCCATCTATACAGTAATATTGCATTTGTCACGTTGAAAGGTTTTTAAAATAATCACTTTGGTTTGTTTGGCGAAACGGGTTGTCCACGCAGCCGCCGCCTCCCAACGTGTAGGCAGTTTATTATATATTATGTACATCCATTTTTAAATTTACAAATTACGCGCAAAACTTTGCCGAGTTTATTACCAGTAGTAGTAGTAGTAGTAGTAGTAGTAGTATCTAGTAGCATCTAGTAGCAAATAGTAATAATAGTGTACAACCGACGCAGTAGCCTAATACGTAAGCATCACCTTAAGTTTGTGTCTGTGTAGGAACTGGCGACATGTAAAAGAGTGGGTTTTTTTTTTACTAGACTGCATAGGCAAGATAAGGAAATGTAATATTATTATTATTTTCGCTTAAGACGACTGCGCGGATCCATGTCGCGCGTGGGTCGATACAAGAAATAACTTAGATGTCGTACATATTATTATTATAAAATCAACTGCAGCCGAAACAATATACGGTATACCACCGATGTGGAGCGGACGACAAGGGACATTAATTTTGGCGACGGTATGTGTTGTCGTCCGCCGGTAGGCAAGTATTCATACATAGTAAGTTTTCTATAATAATAATAATATTATGGATTAAAGAGACACGTGCACAAACGACTGTCGGTTCGATACCTCCCGTCGACCGGCATGTCGACGACGGCTGGAGATTCCAATCGACGTCTCATCTGCTACATACACCGCGTATAAATACACCTACAGCTATAATATAATAATATAATATGTTAATACATATATACTCCGACGACTATACGATAGGGAGAGAAATGAAAGAAAATAGATAGACAGACAGAGAGAGAGTCATTAACGCGATTGTGATTTGTACTTTGTAGTCATTTTAAACGGCACGTGTCTATACGGGTATAATATCATTATTGCTAACCGGAGGAATGCAAAATCACTGACCGTCCAATGCGGTGTGAATGGGATCACGTACTTGCATGTGTATTGTATAAATATACAGAATATAATATATATGCCGTGCCATGAGCAACGTTACAAGCTTCAAACGCATTAATAAGCATAGACGGCTCTTGATCAGATAAAACACTGGATTATTTGTCTTACTTCTGAAACTTTCACGGTTTGATTAATCTCACACGCGTATCGCCTATCCCTCGCTTCGATGGCATACGGCAATTATTTACCTATACAAATTATGGGTAAGTAAAGGATAGCCGGTTAATTTGTTAAGAGGATAATATTGTGCGTTTGGAGGCGGTGTCGACGTAATTGTGTAGAATTATTATTGAGATGCTTAGAGAAAGAGAGAGAGAGAAAATTTGTTTCATCTCGACAGTGTGATAGAAAAAAACTACAACTTAAACTATAATCATGAGTCGGTTATATTGAAGAAATAAAAATGTATTTGTTCTTCTATGGAAATGTCCCGTACTTCGTAGACAAATGAAAAACTAATTATGAAAGAAATATGTCGAGTCTGTCCTCTGTTCATGCAGAACAACGATGATAGGATAGATAAATGGGCGGAATTATATGGAAAACTTGTGGTCGTTCCCATCAGTGTTGCTCAAAAATAAAATATATAGCCATATATGTTAATTACCTGATCTTATATACTAAATTATGTTAAGCCAAACTGCTCAGAACGGTCATTGGTTGTTTTTAGGTATAGGCACATCATATTTTGTTAGAACCCTAACCGTGACAGTTATAAGTTGAATATTCATTACTTAAATTAAGTGAAAATCTATTTTAAAACACAAATTAGTTGAAATGAAATAATACAAATCGTATTTTATTTTTCATCTAAAAATCACATTTTAAAATATTAGGGTTAACAATTTAAAGGCTGGATTTTTCTCAATTATGTCTTGTTAAATAGTTAACAAATGGTACCAGACCTAACCTAACCTGACCTATAAAAGTATCTGAATATACGTTTCCCAAACAGACCCTCACCGGATTGGCACGCGGATAAGGCTATGAATTAGGTGTACATCTAAAATCAATCGATAAACACTAGGTATAGCTGTTATACCAAGTCGTGGAGACTGTGGCTTTTGCGAGTGAGATGCCAACCAAAGATAGAGTACCTACTCAAAATGTATTTACAGCTATTGCTATTGTTTCAGGTATGCCCAACACGACTGCAAATGCAGTTCTGAGACCGCGTGCGTGGGTCGGATTAATTACAGCGCAACAATAAACGGCCGTTTGAATTATGAACCTGTGTCAAAAACTCTGGGAGAAGTCGCTAACCGGTGATTATATAATTTATTAATAACACGGCGTAAACATTGATTTCGTATAGTAAACCTATATGCGCTGCGTACGATAGCATCGTTAAACGAAATATAATATTATTAATATAAGAGTGAAAGCCACAACAATTAAGCTGTCAGAGTAAGTAATGATAAACCGTGTACAGCTGCTCAACCCCGTTCTGATACCTAATAAAGTTCCAACGGGCGCGCGTTGTCACGACGCATAAATAATAATAATATTATCATTATGATAATATTATAAGAACAAAGAATCGATTCTGTCGTTGGCGTTATTAATAATATATTTTTTTTTCTACGCTTCGACCGTTTTAATTGTAGGGCAACAAACAAACGTCCCGGGGGAACGGCGTTTGCCATTATCTTTTAAAACAATCCAACTAATTAGCCGAGAATTAACGGCCACTTGACTTGGCCCGCGGAAATGTTATGATTTCCGTCTAAAAATATCCCAAATCGTTTGCATGGGGAGGGCACGCGAGGTAGAGAAAACGGAACATAATGAAAACTTTGGTGAGACGAGCCAATTGTCATCGTTTAATTTATCGAGATTGGGTTCGGGCCAACTGGCTATTTCCTGTGCGCAATATAGTAAGCCCGACAGAGAACTATTTCAGATGTGCACGAAAATAAAGTTAAAATGTATAAAAAAAAAAAAAAAGGTACTGCGAGATTTCAACACTTTTTTTTAACTTATTGTTATTTTTATGTTTTGCAGAGGAACAAAATGATCCGAACACGTGTATCGGTGTATACCTATGTAAAATTCTCTGGCGTAGACGAAAACATGTGTATTATAATAAGTCCACTTCTAGGGAAAACAATTTGAATTCAACTTTGGGTTTCAACGGAAAAATGGGTGTTTTTTTAAAATTAAAAATAAGTACTAAAAGCTTTTTAAAAAAACTGACGTTATAGCACATTTTATACCAGGAAAAAAGCTTGCTTTTTCTGGTGCTAAAAATTGACTGTCAGTTACTGTGTGACGTGTGTATATATATATATATATATATACACAATTGTTGGACTTACACCTAAGTGGATGTACTTCGCGTGCTCGACACGACCAGAGGTGGGTCTGGTGATAAAGGCCGGTTTAGTATTGAGAGAAGGCCGTAGATCCATGTATATACATAATACAATATGTACACATGAGTGGGGAAAAAATAAAAAAAACGTCCAATAACAATGGCCGCCGTTTAAACACACTTACCGTTGTCAGTGCCGTCTAGAGGTTGTAGGGCCCATGTGCACAGGTCGCAAGTGGTCAGCCCGTCCGAGTAAGGGGGCTCCAGGAACGGTGGACGGGGAGGCGGCGGGGGAAACTTCCACAGGTCCTCCTCGGTCCACCACTGATAATCGTCTTCTTCCTACACGCGAAAGAAAAACCAAAACAAAAGGTCAGTTAATCATGATTTAAAATACAACAACAAATTACCAATGGGCAATGCGCCCATTGTTTCTGTACGCATATTTGAATACGCGTGTGTCTTTTTTTTTTAACACTTTGCGGTTTTTTATTTAAACATTTTTTTTATACTATCACACACACACACACTTACTTATCCTACGCTTTTATGCTAAATGCGTCATCGAATACATCATATTATATATTGCACGGTTGACGTTGCTTTATTATTATTTTTACTATACACACCTAACCGGGATCCGCATATTTTAGCATTCGTACAAAATACATTCTATGGTTAAAATATAAAAAATACATTACCGCGCTAATCAAAATCTGAGAAATACGACGAAAGAGAAGAGTGTCCGAAAAATGACGAATTGTGCGGTTTGTTATTTATTATAACGCGACGGCTTCGCTCTTAACATGTTATGTACATTGTTATACACTAACGGCGTGTATATAGGATCCAATGTAAAATATAATACACACACTGCAGTGTATCATCGTACTCATAAATTATACACGTGAAACATTGATCATAATAATACTATTACTAATAATACCTAAACGCAAATACCTGACGTTCGATCATTTACATTATTCAAATTATTTTACCAGGAATACAGAAATTTTAACTTGCATTTATGAATATGTGTCGAACGTAAAAAAAAACATGCAAGACTCCATTTTTAGTATAAATCATTTTTATCAAGCTATTAATTAATATACACACGTCACAAGTTCGTCTGGGAACATGAAGGTAAACCAGTAAAATATATACCTACCTTTAAATTAATTGTATAACGCACACAACACTTTTTCAGTATTTTATAAAAAAAAATGTTCAATCGAAAATATTATACATTTTTTTTTTGCCACTGAAATCACAAAGATATTTTTTAAGGAGAAGAAATTACAGTGCGTTAAACTGTACACAATATGAATATTAATATCATATACACAATAAAAATATTATATACTTGTGTAGAGCAAATTTACCAATTAATATAATATATATTATATCATCATATATAATTTGTGAATTAAAATAATGACTAAACAAATGTGTAGCATAAAAAAAATATAATAAATTGTAAAATATATAAAATTTGTCTCTTCTTCTTTCTCGCTAGTATAACTAAGTATGGTCTACCAAAATCCATATCATAACAATACTCAAAACGAACACCTACAGCTTGTACACATCAGTTAGTCATCGTCATCGGCTATTTTTTTTTAAATAGTATTTATTACTAAATTATTAAAATTTAAAAGTATAAACGTTGCGCGGTCGGAACGGTTTTGTAATTAAAAATTACAGGTACAACACCAATAGAAACAGACAAATTAAAAAAAAAGAAAGGTATAAACATAGCGAGGCTTCGTAAGCTATGTAAGCTATGCCTGTATGTGTATTTATTCTAGATAAGGCTGTTCGCACGTGTATGCGCTGTTAATTGGGGTTAACGCGCATGCAAATCAGTCGAGTTAGAAAGTCACGGGTCGAGATTAAAAAAAAACAAGCTAGAACGGCCCCGTTGACGAGGTTGTTTCTTCTCTACAACAATACCTACGCGTTCGGTACAAATTTTAATCAATGAAGAATGTGGGAAAAAACTGGAAAATCGTTTTGGTCATAAACCGACAGCGATGTAAGTGTATATACAGCGTGGAAAATTTTTTTGGCCGCCACGTAGGTCTCGCCAGAAGTTTTAGTGAAAAAAAAATAATAAAACACAACGTCGTCGCTTTCGTGCCCGAGGTCCCCGTAATTATTAGAAGAAGAAAAAAGAGTGACCTGGACAGAAAACAAAATAAATACATTTTTTTTTAACTACCAAGTATCCAGTATCCACCTATATTATTATGATGTACTGTATACAATATGCTCCCCTCGGACCGATAATAAATACAATACACTCACAAATACCGGAGATGATCGCGTTTACACGGCGGTTTACCTCGACGGTACTCGAGAGGGATTATGTAGTGCCCCGGTCGGGAATAACTTTTTGTCGCACACAATCCGCACTGCGGTATAATATTTCTGCAGAAGAACGTATACCAACCGAGTACCGACCCGGCGCATTAAACAGTGACGGCTTTGTAACAAACACACAACAGAGTAGCCCAATATTCGGGGTTACGCTTCCGTAAACACTCGGCGGGTATATTATATCAAACATTTCGAGCGGTTCTCTTATCCACCGGTAACTTGGATATTATTATTATATTGTATGTACACACTCGCACACAGAAGACACCAAACAAGTAATTACCGGCGATGCCGCAGTTCCTCCGCGGGTTTTTATATTGTGTTTGTGTAATCAACCTGATAAAAACGGATTTTCAGTGCGCGCTTCGCGGTCTGATGGTTTTTTAATGTCTTCATTCCTCATGCGATGTGTGTGCCCGCCGCCGTCACCCTGTACCGCGCATTGCCTCTGGGACCTTTTGTTTGGAGGTACACACACACACACACTTACTTTGTACCCGAAGACGTACGGTAAAAAACAAAATGTATATAATAATAATAATAATAATAATAATAATATAAACCTATAGGTATAGGCGTTGCGGCTTGTAGATGGTAGGACGGGATAGAGCGGCGGGCAGATCATGCGCGCGCGGTTATATTAAACGAGAAAATTGGTGTTACAACGTTGAAAGGAACACGTAGCGCAATGTCTCAATAAAAAAAGAAAGAGAGAGAGAGAGAAAGATAGAAGAGACCAGCGGCGAAGCCATTCCACCACGAATTGTTGCAGCTGCAACACAAGACTATCGTACAAGATGAAGAGATCTCCGGGTTCGACAGACACAAGCGGTGTGAGTAAGAGTGAGACAGAAAAATATATACATATATACAAAAAGATAGAAAGAAAGACGGAGAGAGATTGAGTATCGGTTCAGCCCAAACCGCCGCCACACCGCCTCCTCTACGGTATATCTTCTGTACACGTTCAGTCACGACTCGGTGGTAATGTCATCATTAACTCGGCCAGTGGTTCTCATACTAAATATTATATTACCGCGGTCCGAATACGATATGCGATCTTAGCGCGGTCGCCAATTAACCGTCGCCGTTGTGCATAAAGATACATTATAAAGTACCTACCTACCCGTTACACGTGTATAGTAATGATAATGATAATAATAATATGTGCGCGGATATATTATAGTCGTCACGCGGGCCTGTCGGAGTCGGCGCGCGCTCGCACACGCTATGAGAGATCCGCCAATTAAAGAATGGTTATTTTTTTTTTAACCAGCAATAATAAATTAAACGGAAGATAATAACGCGCGATTGTACTGAACGCGCACATCACGGCCGTGGTGTGCGCGCTAGTCTCGAGTTGAGGGGAAAAAAACAATATAATATATTATATTCTAATAAAAAAAACCTACGAGGCGTGTACTCGGAGAAAATTTTCGTGAGATGTATACCTTTCGTGTTACTATTATTTCGTCCAATAAATCACTTGTAATAGATCGGTGCGAGCTGCGCACACATAAGGCGCAATCAGTGTGCTCCAAAACCAACACAGACACACAAAATATAGTGATTTATTCAACCGGTCGCCGTCGCTATCGGTGGAAAGTAAAAAATTAAAAAAACAAGTACTGTGTATACATTTTTATCCCGTGAACTTTATTATTGTTATATACCTGCACGTGTATTTGTATGTACACGTGGTGCGTTTTAAGGCGACCTTGTTTCGCGCGTTCAGACTTATATCAAACTGTGTCCGGTTTAGAGGGGAAAAAAACCAAAAATGTGCGTACAAGTTTTATAATAATTTATCGACGTGCGGTGGCAACATCAGCAGCAGCACCAACGTATCATTGGGACGAGATAACTACGAAAAAAAAATTAATGAACGATTCAGATTTATTCAAAAATATGTTACAATCAATTTCGGTTCCTTTTGTACGATTTTACCGCGACGACTAAATTATTAAACAGCTACTCTTGTTCACGGCCGCGATGTTATAAAGTATACTAATTTTCACAAAATAAAGTGTCTTTAAGTAATATATTTTATTCTTTAACCGAACAGAAGGCATCACTCGTTTAACAGGTTTACCGTTTTCATTGTAAGCTGGGCAGTCGTCAACCGAAAATTAATTAGAATGGGACTCATTGACCGTGGCCACAGTATAGGCCGTTTTTTGATAATATATTAGACCAGAGTGTTGCTGTTAAAAACCTACTGGAGCCAATGGACGGTATTGCAACAGCTGACTGTGACCGGTCAAGACTTTTGATCAATAACATAATCTAACTTGTAAGAAAAGGCCGAGTCTTTTTTTCTCGACCAGACAATCGCCATGACCGACCGCGGAACAGCGAACGCTTTGGCGGTCATCTCTGGTTTTCAACTCTATCGTCGTGGAATAATTCGACGGCTGACGTTGCGGTAAAATCAGAAGAAAATAAAAAAGGAAAACTATACAACTAAAGAATAAAGAGAATAATATTATATCCGAACGATTTCGGTCAATATATTGTAGTCGTGTAACACGCGTTTAAGACCCGTTCGATAGCGGTAATCCGATTTATGTACGCACACATCATACATGATATTGTCAGAAAATTTGGATGCTCGGGCTGACCCCATGGGCCCACGGCGAGGGGGCTACCGCATGTATAGTTCTACTCTATACACACACATATATATCCGTGTAAACCATTGTACCATAATCAAAAAACACCCCTACGACGGGGTATACGTGCATGCCGGTCTAACCGAAGACGACGACACCCTGCAGTGACAATCGGCCTGCGTGACAATATATTTATCGGCAGCACACAATATAGTATATAATATAATATGCCATTGCCATACAGCCCCACGACACGAAGACAACGTTGAAAAGAACCAAGGATTATTGTATACATCACCACCGCGTGTCGTTTTAAACGTCTTGTACGCCCCATGTGTGTTAAGAACACGC